AAAATGGCAATACAACATACAAAAGCTTATGGCATGCAGCAAAAGCAGTTCAAAGAGGGGCATTTATAGCAATAAATGCCTACATCAAAAAAGAAAAAAGATTTTATATAAACAACCTGTTGTTACATCTCAAGGAACTAGAAAAAGAAGAACAAACTAAGCCCAAAGTTAAGGAAAGAAAAGATCGGAACAGAAATAACTGAAATACATACCAGAAAAACGATAGAAAACATCAACAAAACTAAGAGTTGGGTTTTTGAAAAAATAAAATTGCAAAACAATTAGCTAGAATAAGAAAAAAGGAGAAGATTCAAAAGCATTGAAAGCTATCCCTTTAAGATCAGGAACAAGACAAGGGTGCACATTCTTGCCACTTTTATTCAACATAGTTCTGTACTGAAAGTCCTAACCAGAGCAATTAGGCAAGAAAAAGAAACAAAAAAGCACCCAACTTGGATGAAAGGAAGAAGTTAAATTGTCTCCATTTGCAAATGATATAATCTTATATATAGAAAACTTTAAAGACTCTACTAAAAAGCTATTAGCACTAATAAGCAAATTTAGTAAAGTTGCAGATTACAAAATCAACATACAAAAATCAGTAGCATTTCTATAACAATGAATGATCTGAAAAATTAAGAAAACAATTTAAACAGCAACAACAACAACAACAACAACAATCATCTTAGGAATAAATTTAGCCAATGATGTGAAAGAATCACACACTAGAAAACATAAATCTATGATGAAAGAAATTAAGGAAGATGCAAATAAATGGAAACATATTCCATGTTAATGGATTGGAAGAATTAATATTTTTTAAATGCTTATGCTTTCCAGAATGATCCACAGATTCAATACAATTCCTATCAAAATTCCAATTACATTTTTTCACGGAAATAGAAAAAACAATCCTAAAATGCATAGGGAACCACAGAATACCCCAAATACCCAAAGCAATCCTGAGCAAAAAATAAAAAGCTGGAAGCATCACACTACCTGATCTCAAAATCTGCTACAGAGCTGTAGTAATTAAAACAGCACAGTACCGGTACATGCAGTACTGGTACAAAACAGACATAGAGACTAATGGAACGGAATACAGAGAGGCCAGAAATAAATCTACACATTTACAGTCTGATCTTCGAAAAAAGTGCCAAGACCACACTATGGGGAAAGGACAATCTCTTCAATAAATGGTATTGGGACACGCAGAAAAATGAAATTAGACACTTACTGCACCTCATGCACAAAAATTAACCCAAAATGGATTAAAATCTTAAACTTAAGACCTGAAACTGTAAAACTACTAAAAAAAACCTAGCAGCAGTGGTCCCTGAAGTCCCAGCTGCTCGGAAGCTTGGGGCAGGAGGATCACTGGAGCCCAGGAATTCAAGGCTGGTCAACAAAACAAAACAAAACAAAACAAAAAAAAAAAACCAAAACAAAATAATGACAACAACAACAAAAATGTGCTAGAGGAAACATAGGAGGAAAGCTTCTTGACATTGGCCTTGGCAACGATTTCTTGCTTCTGATCCCAAAACCACAGGGAACAAAACCGAAAATAGACAAAAAGGAGTGCATCAAAGTAAACTGCTTCTGCACAGGTATGGAATGAAAAGAATCTATGGAATGAGACAAAATATTTCAAACTAAACATATGCTAGTGGATTAATTTCCAAAATATATATAGAATTCAAGCAACTTAATAGCAAGAAAACAACCCAATTTAAAAACAGGCAAAGGAACTGAATGGACATTTTTCTTTTCTTTCCTTTTCTTCTTTTTGAGACAGAGTCTCCCTCTGTCACCCAGACTGGAGTGCAATGGCAGGATCTTGGCTCACTGCAACCCCACGCTCCCGGGTTCAATGGATTCTCCTGCCTCAGCCTCCTGCATAGCTGGGATTACCGGCATGTACCACCACGTCTGGCTAATTTTTGTATTTTTAGTAGAGATGACATTTCACCATGTTGGTCAAGCTGGTCCAGAACTCCTGACCTCAGGTAATCCACCTGTCTTGGCCTCCCAAAGTGCTGGGATTACAGGTGTGAGCCACCGTGCCTGGTGACATTTTTTAAAAGAAGACATACAAAAGGCCAGGAGGTGTATGCGAAGGTGCTCAGCATCACCAATCAACAGGGGAAGGCAAATTAAACTCATGAGGAGATATCACCTCACATCTGTAAGAAGGACTTCTGTCAAAAAAAAAAAAAAAAAAAAAAAAAAAGATGCTTGCTGGGCATGGTGGCACCCACCTGTAGGTAATCCTAGCTACTTCAGAGGCTGAGAAAGGAGGATCACTTGAGCCTGGGAGTTTGAGACCAACATGGGCAACACAGCAAAATCCTATCTGTAATAAACAAAAACAGACAAACACCAGCAAAAAGAAAAGATAACAAGTGTTGGCAAAAATGTGGAGAAAATGGAACTCTCACACACTGTTCGTGGGAATATAATTTAGCATAGCCATTATGGAAAACAGTATGAAGATTCCTCAAAAAAGCAAAAATAGAAATGCCACGCAATCCAGCAATCCCACTTCTGGACATACAGCCAAAAGAAAGGAAATCAGTATGTCAAAGAAATATCTACACTGTCGTATTCACAATGGTCAAGATATAGACTCAACCTAAGTGTCCATCAGCAAATGAATAAAGGATATGTGATATATATACACACAGTGGAATAATATTCAGCCTTAAAAAAAAATCCTGTCGTCTGTGACGAAGTGGATGAAACCGGGGGACATGATGCTAAGTGAAATAACCCAGGCACAGAGTGACAAATACTACATGATCTCGCTTAAATGTGGAATCTAAAAAAGTTGAACTCATAGAAGTAGAGTAGAATAGTGGTTACCAGGGGCTGGGGGTGGAGAGGAAATGGGGAGATGGTAAACAAAGAAAGAAGGAAAAGAAAAAGCTCTGCCAGACCCACAGCGAGCAGCTTGTCAATGCCGCTGTCATTACTGCTTCTGGGCAGCAGCGCAGCCGTGTGGCTGGCACGTGGTAGGGACTCAGTCAGCGGCAGTTCTCTTTGCTGTCTCCAGCAGGCAAGTGGGAATCCAGCATAGCTGCAGGAGCAGTGGGAGATGAGTCCAGATAGTGCATGAGCTCAGGTTAGACTTGGTAGATGGCAGTGGGGAGCCATGGAGGAGTAGGGGCACCATCAGGGTGGTGCTGCCATGCTCCTCCAGCATGGTGGGCGTGGAGGGTCCATAGGATGCAGGACCAGGAAGGAAGCTCTGGCCTGGCCCCAGGGCAGTGTGATAGAGGCCCCAGTGAGTGAGGATGGAGGGGTGAGAAGTGGGGCCCCAGAGAGCTGCAGGAGACATTGCAAAGGCCCTCCACCAGCCTTGCCTGTGGGGCGAGGGCAAGGAGGAAACTGAAGCCTGATGAGCAGAACTAAGCAGCTGTCTAGGGCATGTACCCTGGTCTTCTGGAGCTGAGTTCCGATAACACAACCCCTTGGCCTCTGGCTTTCCTCCGCCCTGGCTTCTCAAGACCAAGTCTTTGGGGGAGCCCACTCTGGAAAGGCCCTGCTCCCAGGAGTTCCCACTGTGGCCCCCCAGGCTGAATAAAGGCATTGAGGATGACTTTATGGTGGTCAGAACATGGACTCCAGCCCAGATGTCCTGGGAAGGGCCCGTCTCATCGCTTTGCTCGGTCTATGATCTAGGTTTAGTTGTCTCTCTGTACCTGACTCTTCTTAGCCTGGATGTGGTGATAATAACGGTATCTACTTCATCAGTCTGTTGTGAGGACTCCATTGGTTACTATGAGTGCCACGTGATTAGGGTGGTGCCTGGGATAGAGCAAACACTCGGTAAACATTGGCTATTAATTATACTCATTATTATTATTATCTTTGATACTGAGTCTTGCTCTTGTCACCCAGGCTGGAGTGCTGTGGTGCAATTTCAGCTCACTGCAACCTCTGTCTACTGGGTTCAAGTGATTCTCTTGCCTCAGCCTCCTGAGTAGCTGGGATTACATTTCTGGCTAATTTTGTATTTAGTAGAGATGGGGTTTCACCATATTGGCCAGATTGGTCTCAAACTCCTGACCTCAGGTGATCCTCCCACCTTGGCCTCCCAAAGTGCTGGGATTACAGGCATGAGCCACTGCGCCCAGTCTATAATTAGAATCATTTTTAAAGACAGGGTCTTGCTCTGTTGCCAAGGCTGGAGTGCAGTGGTACGATCACTGCTCACTGTAGCCTCCACCTCCCAGACTCAAGTGATCCTTCTGCCTCAGTCTCCTGAGTAGCTGGGACTACAAGCAAGTGCCAATACTCCTGGCTAATTTTCAATTTTTTCATAGAGATGGGATCTCCCTATGTTGCCCAGGTTTGTCTTGAACTCATGGCCTCAAGCAATCCTCCTATTTTGGCCTCCCAAAGTACAGGTGTGAGCCACTGTGCCGGGCCTTTGTTGGTGATTAATTATTATTAATAGTCCTCAGGCTGCCAGGATGGAGAGACAGAGAAAAGGTCTCCTAGCTGGAGCCGGCCAAATGGACCCTGTGGGGCTGGGAAAAGTGGGAGCTTGGGAGTGGGAATGAAGGCCAAGGACCCATCTTCTTAGGCAGGTCCCGGGCAGAGTTGGCCCTGATTATGGCTTGGGAGGGCATGCCACTTGAATCTTTCCTCCACTGTCCCCTTCTGTCACACTTCCTCCCCGCCCCAACCCCACTCCTGGATCTGGAGCACAGTTGCTCTTGCTCTGAAGCTGGGGAGGCCTTGCGTTCAGCCTGGGGGGTGGCCAGGTCTGGCTGGCTCTGTGGCTTCTGAGCTCTTATCCTGGATGCCTCATTCCTGCCCTGAGCCTTGACTCCCTCATATTCGGGATGGGGTTTAATCATCAACTCCCCAGGCCTTGGAAACTTCAGGGAAATTCCTGCCTGGTAATTTTAGTCCAACCTTTCTCCTCACCCACATGGTTTCCCTGGAAGTTCCTCCCTCGGCTCCTGGGGATGAACAAAGGACACGTGGACTTGTGTGTTGTAGATTCTTTATTTGGGAGCTGGGCTGCCTCAGGGGCCCACCCCTCCAACCCCGTGTCCAATTGCTTTGCACCAGATCCAGCTGTCCAGGCCCTGGGAGGCTGGTGATGACCATGGTAGCCAGGGACCCAGCTGGAGCATGGAGGGGGATGTGAGGCTGCCAAGGCGGTGGGCTGAAGGTTGGGGTGTCCTCGGTGGGCTCAGGGCACCCAGGGTCATCTCAGAGGCAGCCAGTACACGCGACGTTCACACACAGCTCACAGTCATCATTAGCGATGGTCCCTGGCAGGGAGAGAACCGGTCAGCTGAGCTGAGTCTGCCGCGGCTAGGCAGCAGAAAAGGCCTGCTTGGGAGTGGGTGGTGTCATCCACAGACTGGGAACAGGAACCTCTAGAGGCAGAGTGAGAGCTTGGTCTTTTTCCTAGCAGCGACTGGGCAGTGGCTCACACTCTGTGCCTGAGATTTCTCATCTGCTAAATGGACAGGGTCGCTGTGAGGAGATAATGCAGGCCACGGGACTGGTAGGTCCCAGCACACAGTAGGTGCTCAGTAAGTGCTAACTAGTTACTACATTCTCCTGCCCAGCTCTGCACCGTCCCTGAGGTTTCAGCGTGGCTGACACCCCTCTTGGAAGCCTTTCAGACCCCCATCCCACCACAGATGCCAGCCAGCTCTCCTCTCTGCTCCATGCAGCTGTTGTCTGTTAATGGGTCTGTGCCTGGCATGGACTCAGGGGATGCCTGACTCTGGGTGTCCAAACCGGGGAGTCCTGGGAGCCAGTGGGGACCGGGCCTGAGTTTCTTGAATCTCCCCATCCTCAGCTGCTGGGTGCTTACGAGAAACAACCCACAGGAGGCTCCTGGGCGTGGAAGAAGACAGAACGAGGTTCTGCGGGGAGCAGGGCACTTACTCAAGGTCTTGAAGATGCTGGAAGCCTCCTGGGAGGTGCAGACAGGCTGGAGGTCCAGGGGCAGAGCCGGGTGGTGGCACACGGCGGGCAGTGGGCTCTGGGCCCGCAGGCGGGGGCTGGGTGCCCACTGTGCCTCCAGGTCACTCAGCTTCTTTATGGATTCCAGCTGGACCCGGAAGCCTTGGTACTACAGAGGGGAGAGGAGATGGGAGCAGATCAAGACCCGGGCCAGGGGCAGGGACTGCCGTGACATCCAGGGTTGCCCACACCCCGCAGATCCTCCGGAGCCTTCCCTGTTTCCACAGGAAATCCAGGGCCACGCTGGAAAGAGCCGCCGGGGGTGGGAGGTGTGGGAAGAGGCAGCAAGGCTGTGGAGCACGGTGGTTTAAGGCATGGGTATTAGAGACAGGCAAGCCCTGGTTCAAATCCCACCTCTGCCCCTGACCGGCTGCCTGTCTATTCCCCACTCAGCCTCAGCTCTCTCATCTGACATCCCCCATGGGGGCCTGGTATGAGGACACACTCGCCAACTGGGTATGCCTGCCTGAGCTGGCATGGCAGAGTCATGGCAGCCCCAAGAGGCCAGTCTCCGAGGCCAGAACTGTTGGGGAGGCCAAGTCTCCTGCACCCCTCTCTGGGACCCACTTTGTTCTTCCCAAGGAGCCCGTGTCTGGAGTCAGGGATGTGACACCCAGGGCCACAGACTTCTCTGCTATGCTGGGCGAGGCCAGCAGCATCTCCTGCGACATGGCAGACAGGGCCTTTTGCAGCAACTCCTGCCAGTCTCCCCGGCCCCCTAGAAGGGCACCTGAACCCCTGCAGTCTTCTCTCAGGCCTTTGCACATGCTGTGCCCTCGGCCTGGAACGGTCCACCCATCCTCCGTGCCTGGCCATCTCCTGTTCATCCTGCAATACAAGCTCAAGGGTTAGCTGCCAGGAAAATTGCTCTGGAGCCTGTCCCCCTCCACCCACATGTGGGTGAACATGGAGAGCTGTGGGAGCAGAACAGGGCGTCTCCATCCCTTTCTGGGCTTCTCCCGTGCAGGGGCACATCCTGTTCCTCACTCTGACCTCTGTGACCAGGATGGGCCTTGGAGGGGAGCTGTGCTGAACCAGTTTTGGTATTGTCATTGCCATCATCACTGCCATCAACGTCTGGCTGCTCCCACCCCCAGCTGCCTTGGTCCCAGGGCTGTGATGGGTGTTGGGCTGAGCCCCGGGTCCCATGCCCCCATTGTGCCCCTGAATTCCCAGTACACCCTCTCCAGCCTGGTCTCCCGCCGTGGGGCCCTTCAGGCAGGGGGCACACTGGCAGAGGGACTCACCTGGATGTAGACTGACTGTGTGCTCTGCAGCAGCAGGAGGACCATGGCCACCCCTGGCAGGAGCCTTGACACAGCCCTGCTGCCCATCGCGCTCCCTATGCTCCCCCTGCCACTGTCCACCGGCTCCCACCTGTGTCCCTGCCTAGCAGCTCCTTATAGCCAGGCTCCGGTGTTCTGGTCACTCATTAACTGGCCAGCTGGGGTGGGGTTGACAGCTGGCTGGCTTTCTGACAAGCCAGGGCTTGTTCCCAGGAAGGGGGTTGGGGGTGAGGAGGGCCGGAGCCGAGAGCCTATGGGAACACAGTGCTTGAAGACTGAGCGCCTGCTGTGTGCTGGGCTTTCCCTGGGGACCTTCGACCGCAGCATCGTTCATGCTTCAAGACACCTGTGTGGGTGTGATGATAGGGAGGCCATTTTATAGACAGGAAAAGTGAGGCTCAGGAGGGAAAGTGGCTTGCCCCAGGTCACGGAGCTAGTTAAAGGCAGAGCAGGGGCTACAGCCAGGTGTCCTTGCCCCAGGTTAGCCCATGGTCCTTTCTCTGAGGGAAGGATGCAACAGACAGGTTGGCCCAGGGCAAACTGGGCAGACACGGCTGACCTCAGGGTTCTCAAGCCCCCATCCCCCCAAGACCCACATCTCTCCCACTCCCTCTCCTCAGTGCTGTTTAAGAACCATCCTTCTAACCGGTCCTTGCTCTGGGTTTTGAACCTGCCTCTGCCTGCCATCTCCGGCCCATGCCTGGGTGCTCCCAGGCCACGTTTGACCCATCTCACATGTCTGTGCCTTTCAGAAGCCAACAGCCTAATCCAGCATGGGGGAAAAAGCAGTGGTGCTGGAGGCAGATTGACCCAAGTTCAAATCCTAGTTCTGATGCAGCTGTGTGGTTTAGGATAAGTCACATCAATTCTGATGGAAACTTAGTTTTCTCTTCCATCCAATGGGCGTGATACAACCCCTTGCATAAGGTTGCTGCGAGTGAGAGCCCCGGCCCACCTGAGGTTGCCCTTATCTCCTGGTGACACATCTATAGCAGCCCCTCAATCTTACTGTTGTCGTATAGGCAATGCATAACCTACTGCCCTGGGGGTTGAAGGTTGGGTCAGAGAGAAGAGGGCAAAGTCTCTAAGGGTGATATCACCACTGCCATACCAGGCAGCTATAAACAGTGCTGGTTCCAGGGCTCAGCTCTGCCAGGCGCAGACTCTGGCATGTGGCAGGCTTCCTTAACGTGGAGCCTAAACATTGGAGTGAAGCCCTGATAGCTCACCTTGGCATTTAAGATGCCACTCCCTAAAGTGGCTAAATCTGATGTAATCATGCTTCCCCACACCAGCCCTGTTCGCACAGACCTAATCTATCTCATGTCTTTGCCTGCTCATTCCGTGTGCCTCAAATGCCCATCTTCCTTTTTCTTATCTCAAACTGAAATGAAGAAGGTCAAGTGAACTTCGGAATTTCATATGTATTGCTCTGAATCCAGACTTCAGCCTTTGCTTTTTAGAATAGATAGAAATTAAGGGACTCTTACAGGCTTTGTCACTTGTAAAATGAAAACAACCATCTGGTAACAATGGCTCTCATTTCTTGAGTACTGTGTCCTAGGCACAAAGCTGTGTTATGGCCATAATCCCATTGAATCCTAAAGGATAGGCATAACGGCTTTTGCATTTTACGGAGGAGTAACCTGAGGCCCCTCGAGGCACCATGTTTCTTGTTGCTGTGAGATCACGAGGGTGAGCAGATTTTCTACCTGGAATTCTTGCCCTTGCTCTCAGCCTGTGGTGTTATAGAAAAAGGAACCGAGGACTTAGAGATAAGGACAGCTGGGTTCAAACCCAGATGCCGGCACTTTCCAGCTGTGTGATCTTTGGTACATTACTTAGCTTCTCTGAGCCTCCATGTCTTCATCAGTAAAGCAGAGAAAATATAATAATAATTTTAAAAAAGACCTCATAGTGGTTGTTGTAAGGAAACACGGAACAATCCCTGTTTCAGGAGAGCCTGTGACTCTCCCTGAAACTACCATTTCCCCAGCATGTGCTTGGCCCAAGGGGGGTTTCCCTGCCTCTCCGTATGAACCCCCATGACAAGCCCCGTCTCTGAATCTATAGCGGGACAAGTTCTGCTTTCTGACTTGCCCAGGCTGAACTCAATGCTGTGCCATTCTATCCAGACCTTGGTCTGACCAACCCTATGGCCTTGGACAAGCGACGACCTCTGTGATCTCAGTTTCTCATTCGTGAAAATAATGTGGCCAGTCTCCAGTGTTTGAGGTTGTCATGAGGTTGCTTGATCTCTAAATCCGTGGTCTTTCCATGAGAGGAACCTCATCCCCCTTGGCCCCCACATCACTGAGACACACCTGTAGGGCCTGGGGGTCCCTTGGCCATGTCTCTTTCCTTTCCTCACCCTGTGGCTCCTCCAGCCAGGGCCTATCATGTTTCAGTCTTCCCTGGGAACCAGGTATGACTTCCTCATCTGCCTGACATGACTCAAGTTTATTTGTCAAACCCACCTCCTCCTAATCTCTTTCTGAATAACCCACCATCCATCACAACCAACTTGGCCACAGACGCAAACCCTCACCGCTGTACCAGGCCAGCCCATGTGCATTGACGTGGTATTATCAGGGCACTTCCTTCTTTGTGGATGTGGGAAGTGACTGTCACAGGGGCCTGGACTTCACTCCGTGTGGAAGCCTCAAACACAGATGCGGGGTGGGTGACAGTTTGCCCGTGTGCATTTGGGCAGCTCCCCTCTCTACCCTGGCCTCTCTGTTCAGTACTCACTGCTACGGTGCCCAGAGCCCAGGACTCTCCCTGCCCCAAACTGCTCATTTCCCCGATCATTCATCACAGCTGACCACTCCCTTTCTTGGGGTAAAGTACTTTCACCATTGGGCTCCTGAGACACTCTCTCCACATTTTCTGCCTCCATATTCTCAGTTTCCTTCCTTGTTTTTTCCTTTTTTCCTTGACCTATAGGTGTAAGAGGGCCCGGGGGCACCAAAGCTGTCTTTGGACCTCTTTCTTCCTGTCTGTAATCTCCCCCTTGGTGATCTGTCCCATCTCAAGGATTTTAATGCCATCCACACCCTGTTTACTCCCTAGCCTGCCCTCTCTTCTAAGTCCTGAACTCATTTACCTGCAGCCTCCTCAGCTCCTCACATACCAGCTGAGAGTATTACCATTCACCCAGTTGCTCAAGTCAAAAATCTGGAAGTCATCTTTGATGCCTCTTTTTCATTTGCCAAATTCAATCCTCTAGCAAATCCAGTTCAAAATATTTCTAGATTCCAACCATATCTCATCATCTCCACTGCTGTTATCAAGGTTCAGGCTGTCATCGCTAGTTGAATAAATTATTGCAATAGCCTTGTGTCAGGCAGGGTTCTCCAGATAAGCAGAATACACACACCCCCACACACCCCCTCACACACACAGAAACAGAATGAAAACACACACACACACACACACACACATCCTATATAGAGATATATATTTTCTATTAGAAAGTCTACAGACTATAAATGTTAATCGCATTGAAAAAAATCCTACTTCAGAGAGCTTCTCCCATCACTGCTAATGCTTTTAACTTGCTTTCTCGTAGTACCTGTCATATATATGCATCTAATCTTCTGCATCTTTCTCTCCACTAGAATGTAAGTTCTATCAGAGTAAAGAATTTGTCTGTTTTGTTCTCCTAAAACAGTACTTGGCACATCTACCCTGCTGGATAGATCTATCTATGTATCATCTACCTAGATTTGTTTTAAAGAACTGGCTCACATGATTGTTGAACTGGTAGGTCTGAAATCTGTAGGGAAGTTTGGCAGGCTGGAAATTCAGCTTAGATTTGATATTGCAGGCTTGACTCCGAAATCGGCGGGGCAGACCAGCAGGTGACAAACTTAGACAGGGTTCCTGTGCTGCAGTCGTTCAGGCAAAAATGCCTTCTTCAGGAAACTGAAGAAGTCCTTTACTTTTTTTGAGATGGAGTCTTGCTCTGTTCCCCAGGCTGGAGTGCAGTGGCATGATCTCAGCTCACTGTAACCTCCGCCTCCTGGGTTCAAGCGATTCTCCTGCCTCAGCCTCCTGAGTAGCTGGGATTACAGGAGCCCGCCACCACACCCAGCCAATTTTTGTATTTTAGTAGAGATGGGGTTTCACCATGCTGGCCAGGCTGACCTCAGGTCATCCACCCTCCTTGGCCTTCCAAAGTCTTTATTAAGGCATTCTAATGATTGGATAGGAAGCCCACCTACCCTTACGAAGGGTCATCTGCTTAATAAAAGTCTACTGATTATGAATGTTTATCATATAAAAGTTATTTTCACAGCAACATCTAGACTGGTGTTTTATAACAGCTGGGCATCATGGCTTGGCCAAGGTGACTCATGCAATTAACCATCACAAGCATCCATGCAGATCTCCCTGCACCTGCTCAGGCCTTTCTCCATGGAGCAGCCAGAGGAATCCTATTACATTCTGAGTCAGATCATCGTGTCTCTCTCCTGCTCACACCTACCAGTGGTTTTTCACTTCACTCAGAGGAAAATCCTAAGGCTTCTGCCTACAAGGACCCTTTGGCATCCCATCTTTATCTTCGACCTCAACTCCAAAAACTGCCCTTCACTCTCTGAGTTCCAGCCATGCTAGCTCCTTGAGGTTTCCCAAACACACCAAGATTATTTACCTTTAGGTCTTTGCTCTTCACCCCTCTCTTCATTCAGGTCTCTGCTCAAATGCCAATTCCTCAGAGATCTTTCTTGATCCTTCTCCCTTGAGGGTTTCCCCATCACTCCTAATTCTCTTACCTTCTTTCTCATAGCACCTGTCATATATATACAACTCATTTCTTGCATCTTTCTATTACAGTAAGGAATTTGCCTGTTTCATTCTCCCAGAAGGATACCTGGCACATAATTGGTGCTCAACAAATACTTGACGAAGTGAATAAATGGATATGATTCAAATATCGATTCCACCAAGCACTGGATGTTTAGCCTCAGGCAATTTCCTGTTTCTCTGAGCCTTAATCACCTCACCTAGTATCTTGTTGGCATGCGGTGGGTGTTCAAAAATGTGTGTTATTATTGTTTTCATAGTTGTGGAATCACTTGTTTACTGAGAAATAGAATGCTTTTTGCATT